TTCATTTTTCACAAAACTGCTTTGATATGCTGCTCTGAACTGATGTGTTAGTGTTTAATCAAGGAAATATATTAAAACAGAAATTAACTGTAAATAGTTAAGGTATGTAAATTTTTTAATTTATACAATTATATTTAGAACCCAGTAGAATTAACACTTAAGGCTTCGTCAAACAGAACGCGTAATTAGCGCGCGTCAGAGCGCTACGCTATGACGCCGAGATGTGATGTACTACTGTGGTAACATACCATCACACAGAGCGCTAGCGTTATAAGCGCTATAGCGCTGGCGCTCTGTTTGACGGTATGTTACCATAGTAGTACAACACATCTCGGTGTCATAGCGCGGCGTCAGTTGAGCGCTCTGACGCGCGCTAATTACGCGTTCTGTTTGACGAAGCCTTTAAACATTAAAAAAACCTTACACTTATTTCAAAACGCTAATTTTATATAAGATATAAAAAAATCCCAAATAACGTCTGAGAAAGATCAATTGTAAAGTAATTTTTCATTTTAACAAATTAGGAGCCATTACGTACACGAAAAAAAAAATGTTATTCCATTTGCGAAATCATAATTGGATTATTATCTGAGTCACGTCCATTAGGTGGATGAAACGAGAATTGAATTGCAAAATATGACGAGTCTACGAGCATTGTAAAGTTACGAATACGTTGTAGACGTAATGCGATTATAACGATGTCATTTTATTTCTTTTATACTTGAAAGTGATTCTTTTGGAAATAACCCGACGTTTCTTTTGATAATAATTATAATTCTTCAATTCTGGTTGTCGTAGTAACAAATTGTTTCGTTGTCACTTTATCTAAAAGCTACATGCATAGATTAATTTGTATGAAATTCTTACGCGTTATCTATCCTTTGTTAATTAGGTGATTATATTGCAGAATAATTACTTTAAAATTGTTAAACTATTAGAAAACACAAAGTACATTGAATCGTAATCGTAATTAATATTAAATTAATTTTTTCTCTATTTTAGAGATTAAACGTAAAAGTTTCTCGTAAAAATTACGTCTGATATTTTTTTTATCAGATGACTATGATCCATGCTGTCGTAGTGTTGCTAGGTGCTTCATACGTCTTTTGTCTACGTCATGTGTATTGAAGGATAGACGGTCTTCAATGGTGTATTGTTTATCAAATCAGTTCATTGAACAATCGCCTCTGCTGATTCGAGATTCATCCATTGATTGTCGACTGGATGTTCGGATCGGATAGCTGGTACTGTGGGAAGAATTGCTGAATGCTAGAACCGAATAAGTTACGTCGACTTGCTTTGTGTTTAGAGCAGTTCTCGGGCTTATGTAGTGAAAACGCTGAGATATGCGATCGAAGTTTATACATCGGCTATTGTACTCTTCGATCTGAAAAACGTCTTTTTTACGACACATGCAGGTAGGATTGTTGTGCCCACTTGTGTGTGGCTTGCACTATATTTTACTACTACTTTGTAGGATACGAATTTAGAAGAAAGTTAGATATGAAAATAATCGGATATGCTATACTTCTCCTTTTTCTTGTCCTTATCCTGCTATGTGGGGTTGACGCAGCATGACTACTTTTTCCATTCAGGGCTCCCTCTTTTCCTAGCTATTCATCCCACATGGTGGTGGGGTCAGTTTTCCTTCTTGTTCCCCTCCATTTCGCTCCGTCTTCGACATCTTCGTCAGTAACACTGCATTACCTCTTGTCCTTCAGCACTACATCTTTCCACTTTCTCTTGGGTATTCCGCTAGGTCTCTGATTGGGAAGGTTGAGCTGTAGTACCATTAACCATACATGCCTGTCATACGTAATCTCTGAACTCACACCCTTTTCATGCATATCTTCTTTCAAACTGTCCATCCAAGTCTTTTTAGGACGACCCCTACTTAGATACGTTTACGTCTAAAACTATTATTATTGAAAAATTATAAGGAACTGGCAATCGAAGCTCGGGCAGACGTCTTATAAACGACTAGCGACCCGCCCTCGCTTCGCTTCGGAAACATTAAAACACACATGAAACAAAAAAAAAAATAAAAAAAAAAAAGTAGCCTATGTTCATCAGGGACAATGTCGACTTCTAATGGAAAAAGAATTTTTCAAATCGGTCTAGTAGTTTCGGAGCCTATTCGAAACAAACAAACAAACAAATCTTTCCTCTTTATAATATTAGTATAGACTAGCTGTGTCCGTCCGCTTCGCTGGGTATTTAAAATTAACATTATTATTTCTCACCCCCACAAAGATTCTCATCATTAACGCGCCCGGCAACTGGTGTAGGGAGTCCAACAGTCATATAAATATTAGCCTATCCATTAAGTACATGTATTTTCTACATGACTACCAAGTTACAAGTCAATCGGATGCATGGTTCGGTAGTTATAACGGAACATCCGTAAAAAACACTGTAGATTTATATATTAGTATCATCATCATCATCATCAACAGCCTACAGTCGTCCACTGCTGGACATAGGCCTCTCCCAATCTACACCACTGAGCCCGGTCTGCGGCTCTCCTCATCCACTTCTTGCCGGCCACCGTGCGGAGGTCATCGCACCATCTAGCCAGGGGGCGTCCCACGTTACGTCTTATATTAGTATAGAGTATAGATAATAAACAACCCGATAATCTGTTAATATCTAATTGTAGGTAGGTATTAAAATAAAACGCATTTCACATTGAAATCATTCGATGACTGTTTATTTACACAATAATGACACAGTGACGGTTAACAACCAAAGTTATCAATCACAGGAGAATAGCCGTAAACAACAATGCAGTTTACATTTGAATTGACGACAGCTAACTAACTATACTAACTAGCACATGATTATCGAACTATGAAGAATTAATCGAATCAAATTTGGACAGTAGGGCTCTGATGGGCTTAATTATAAATATAATTTAAAATATTTAAGTTTAATAAAATTTGGAATATCAACGAAACTGTATTGTAGGTATGTTATGTTTCGAAAACGATAACGTACAATATAATAATTTTATATGATGATAACACACGTACTAATTCTATGCAGTCAAATCTTTTATGAAGGCCGAAAAGTGTTCTGAAAGAGAAACTATAAAAAAGATTCCCTGGCGAGTTCTCAAATGAGAATTTTAGTGCATACTTTATTCATATATTTAATGTTCATAAAGCAATCTTGTTCAGATCAAACATTCAACAACCAAGAGAGCAGATGGAATTTCAAACCTCCTTAGATACTATTTAAATTAAAATTGAGTTCGTTGTACTTATTTATTTGAACATGATATTATACGTTTTATTATTAAGAATTTCATTTAAATAGTGAACAATTTCATGTATTCAAACATAAATTTTTTAACCGAATAATATCTGAAGTGAACGGAGTATAGTATCTTATTTTAAACACACTGAAATAATTCATTTCGTTCTAATTACTTCCGAACTATATCCGATGATAAAAATAATTAAGGCAACTAAAATATTTCCGTAGCATAAATCACGAGAGCGTGAGGTTGTTTAAAATAAAACTGGGACACTGTACGAAAGCAAGCCAAAAGGCAGACGGAAGCGGTCGGTCTGAATGCACATAGATTTCCGTTATGCTCAAAGCTACGGACATGTGTTATTGTTAGTCTAGACAAAATATTAAATAAGTAAATGCTAAGTTAAGCGTATTCAGTGAACACAGAATATAAAAAAAACACGAGTGGCACTCGGGGACTGCCGCGATAAAGCTATTGCATAGCATTTTTTATCAACTTATACGATTATCATTAGACAATAGTAATTTAATATTAAAACAATAATAATAAAACAAGACCACGCTATATTTATAAATATTAACAAAAGTAAAACATTAACTGTCCCCTTCACATTCATAAGCTAGAGCGCGCGAGATAGAGATGCGCAGACTTTTCATGATACGCATGCAGTGCGACGTCACGCCGCGCGCTTATTCACAAACACTACACAAGCGCAACGTGTGAATGTGTTAGGTTTTATTTTCGTTACGGAATTTCTTGATTCGGTCGCCGCGCTCAAATCTCGCGATAAAGGCTATGCAATAGCTTAAAAAAAGAACTATGTCGTAGTTGCATTCGCTCATTAACATTTTTTTTTTATATTAGTGTAGAAGTATAATGTATAAATAAGATAGAACTTTTCACTCTAATACTGTCCGAATATTATGTGAGTATCTACACGAAATTTGTAGTTGTTTCGTCGTAGAAGTTAGCCGTTGAATATTTTAGAAGCGCGTAGAGGAATATCTGGGCCAGAATTATTCACGGCATAGGACGTCTTCGTGTTCTCAGGGACGTTTTTGAAAAAAATGTATTGTTTTCATATTTTGTTTTAATGGACCGAAATTAATAAGTCTATTTGAGTTTTCACAAGATTTAATGTGCCGTTATTATCTTCTCCCTTTATATTAACTGAAGTGATCGAACACAAATATTTTCGAACAGCCATAGCTTAAACCGGCTATTAATTATTAACCTATGTACCTCAAAAAAGGAATTAAATAATATCTCTAATCGGATCATCGAGTTCTAGAACTATATGACATATCTATGTAAAATAGTACACGTAACAGTAATCTAACCTCGCACAGTTAATTACAACTAACAATCTAGTTTTCATGTATACTTTAAGAATAACATCTCTATGATTACATTGTAATTGGCAGTGCTGTATGTTTTGTTATTTTAAATTGTTATTTTATTATATCGGTGAACAGCATGCGCTCTAATTATAATCAAAACGAAGGGTCTGTTTTATTTAAATGCGTATCAATCTATGTTCTCGTTGTATGCAATATAATAGATAATAAATAAATAAATATTTACTAACAATAACGCCACGTTAACTGGTCCCGTGATAAGTTCGTAAAGAACTTGTGTTACAGGTACCAGATAACGGAAATAAATATAAGATTTTTATTATACACATACATATATTTAATATACATCCATAACCCTGGAAAAGACATTTATATTTATCATACAAATATCTTCCCTTGGCGGGATTCGAACCCGCGACCCTCGTGTGTAGTGACCATGTCACTTACCACTACACCAGACGGCCGTTAATGAACTAAAACTCCTTTCATTGACAAACTATCAGTTCGTTACTTCGTGTAGTTTTGATTAAAACGACCATGGACGTACATAGGTTCATTGAAATGGCAACGTAAATATTGGCAAAAATATGGGACCGCGTTTGTTCTATTTTATTTGCCAAAAATTTTATTTTTGACACCGAAATGTATCTGAGAGCGGAGACCGTTAACTCGCATATCGGAATTTGTTATGGTAATACATTACCGTATGGTAAATGTTGAATTCGTTCAAAATATGTACACTATGAAGTTTGAACTATAAGTTCGTAATTCGAATAAAATACAATTATAGTACACAACATGAGTTTTTATTTATTATAGTAGCAACCTTTGTTATTATTTTGCTAACTCTATTAGGAATAACACATAGGTTTGTAATTAACTATAAAATATCTCATTTGAATTTGGCATCCAATATCACTGACCGTGTGTCATGTAATATACAAAATGTACTAAAAGGCCAAGCTGTTGAATTTATTAAATTTTTTGTCCGTCGCGGTTTCTTTTGATATGTGAACATACGATTTCGTATTGTTAATGGTATAACACTTATCATAGCTCTATACTATATAACAACATTGAGATATCTACAACGTTTCAATAAATAGCAAACTTGTTGTAACTTGAAAGCGTAAAACAACATGCACTGAAGTAATTTGAAATTAGCAACGTAACAGAGAATTAATACTAAAAAATGAGCAACAATTCATAGATTTTTAATTTCTACACCACAATAGCTCTCGAAGTTCATACAAAACGATTTGGGCTACATTTCATCGTAGCAACAATATTCTTATAAACAACGGACCGTAACACTTCGAAACGCCCACGTAGATTCATGTCATCTAAACATATAAGAACACTTTATCTCTTAAAATTATCATAAGGTGAACAACTACGGCGTCGTAAAGTACTAAATAGATTCAACATTAAATTAACATTAAACTATCACTCTCTAAGTAAATGTTTATCGAAGATAGTTTCGCGATGATCAGATGCGTTCGTCCTGCACATCTGTCAAGAGAAAAAGAACATTAAACATTTTGTTGTTTTTTGGACAAATGTCGTTAAACAAATACCATCGTCTCTAAACTACGACTTCTACATGGCGACAACTGTGTACACTGAGTAAGCGATTATATTTAAAACAGAAAAGCAAATAAACAATAACATAATTTGCCTTTCAATCAGCATTGAAACAAACAAGGAAATAAACAAAAACAAAATAAATATTACAATCCTTAGAACGGATTTTCTCATTAATATTTACAGTTTGTTGAATAAAACACATCGGAATAAATATTTAAACTTTAAAAACAATCTATAAAAGCGTTTAAGTAAAATTTTACATATTAATGAGTCTTAAAAGTCAGTCTGTTTTCTTGAAAATTCGTTTCCGAACCTTCTAATGTTTAGTTTAGTTTCCGACAGTTTCGGAGGGTATCCTAAATTTTATTTCTGATTTCACGTAAATTGTTATTGTGAAGCTACACGTTATAGTCGTGAGATAAATGTTGAACAAAAGTAATTGAGGTTGTTGCGGAAAATTATAATCGGTACTGGCTTGTTTCCAGTGTTCCAGGAACTGAAAGATACGTAACACAAACAAATCATTATTTAGCAAACACATCGAACATTCATGCAAGAAAATCTCGTTATTTTGCGTTTTTAACTGCTCTTCTGTTTTTTTACAGTACAATCTGTTAATAACTGTAACACACATTAAGCAATCAAACTTTAGAACGTGTACACGTATTTTCAGTATTTAAATCACCTTTCAGAAGACTTGCACATAGATACAAACATACAATCTTGAATAAATGGTATTTAGAATTTTATGTTTTGTTTTAAAAGGTTAATGAAGCAAATAACGCGTGCCAAACACGATTTAGTTTTCTGGGAGAGCAAAGGGGGGTTGGGGCAAAGTGCAGCGTGTGTGGGTGACATGCGGTTATAGGATGACAGCACACAAGTAACTACGGGGAACTGACTCCATACTACTTACGTCGCATTACACATTGGTCGAAATGTACCATCTTTGGCGAACAGTGAGCGCGAACACGTGACAAGAATAGAAGGAATTTAGAATTCATCCCATTCGTTTAAGAAACCAAAATGCACGAACGATTTAGACCAGCGATTCCCAATCTGTGGTACGCGTACCTCTAGGAGTATGCGGGGTACCTTTGGGGGTATGTGAAAATTATATTGGTAATAACGGAAACACTGTGAAGTCGAAATAGTTAACTTATTAAAATGTATTGTTTCTACAATATATGTGGCTTAAAAGAACCTTACAACTAATATCAAATTAATGTTGGTTGGCTGATAAAGCACACTACATTCGTTTGTTTATGACCTGCCTAAGTTCATCTCTGTTAAGAGAATCGAGACGCATTTTTAGGAATAGGTGTTGAGTTATCAGACGAGGGGTACTCATAAATGAAAAGTTTTATTAAAGGGGTAACGGAACGAAAAAAAGGTTGGGAAGCACTGATTTAGATTTAGGTCACGTTCGTGACTGTTCGTTCGAAAGCGTTACATTGTAGACTCGAGGCCAGACGAATGTGTAAGTGCGGTACACACAGAGACACTAAGCTACGGGGTTCGGTCACTCACATACCTAAACACGCAGCGGCCAATTCCGAGTTATCGTGTAACTCCAAACATTTCTCGTAATGATCTTTTCCTCCCCATTACACTTTTCGGTTAAATTTAAAACACATTTAAAACTTATATAGCAATCAAATATATCGATCGTATACAATAGGGTGCGTCATAACGAGATTTGACTGCATGAATTTTGAAAATAAATCACTAATGTAACGCTATAAGAGGCGGAATATCGAAATAATACAGAATATATATTATTATATTATAAATGATTAAAACTACTTTTACATTACGAAGTTTCAAAATTCTTATAGCGATCATGCTCAAGGATAACCGAGGAGTCTTTTTTATTCCTCCAGAAAATTTACTGGTGGTAGGTAGGAGGACCTCTTGTGAGTCCGCACGGGTAGTTAGTTACCACCACCCTACGTATTTCTGCCGTGAAGCAGTAATGCGTTTCGGTTTGAAGGGTGGGGCAGCCGTTGGTAACTATACTGAGACCTTAGAACTCATATCTCAAGTGGGTGGCGGCATTTACGTTGTAGACGTCTATGGGCTCCGGTAACCAATTAACACCGCCCGATGAGCTCGTCTACAAATACAGGAAAAAAAAAAAAGTGGTGTTTACGTTTATATACAAATGTAGAAAGAACTAAGCATTGAGCTATGGCAGTTCATTTAACTCATGGATTTATCTTAAAAGTAGTTTTAAACATCTATGAGACTCGCGAGAACCGAAGAAAACACTAGACGAATTACAGTTAACGCTTACGATCTACTAAATTATATACTTGATAATTTTAAAATGGCAACATTAACTTTGAGCTTAATCTACTTAATTTAGCTTGTGCCAATAAATATTAAAGTGACAATTTGAAGTAGTGATTCTTTCAAATATTTTTAAATGCAAGAAAGATCGTTGTATTAATTAGTGCCTTATGTACTCGTCAGTAGAGTATAATATAAGTTACTTCTAATACTAGGAACCTATTTTATAAAATAATATGTCTACATATTTACGAGTAAATAAGTTAGATTACTAATAAGAGTATTACTAATTCAGTCTAATAGGTAAGTAATATCAAAATGTCGTGATAAGACGAAGACACGTGCAATCCTTATGTTATCTATCATTCCGATAGAGGCACCCGTCACGTGCGGACGTGCTCATCGTCCACTCGATCGCCCGGTCTTTGTTCGCCCGGCTTTTGTTAGCCCGGCCATTGTTCGCGCGGCCTGTGTTTGTGGTACATCTGCCGACTAAGTGCTCTTTCTGGAAGTTTTTATTTGTTTTGTTTCCTTTTGTTGTTTCTGTGTTCGTGGTACATCTGCCGACNCGCGATTCCGATCCGGTAGTAGATTCATTCGCGAAACAATTGCTCTTGAGTTGTTAGGTCTCCTTCGGAGGCGCTCGGGCAGTTGTTAGCAAATCCCACCCCTCTTGGCTGAGCCTTTGCTCGCCCACCTGTCCTGGTGAAACTGGAAAGGCCTTCGGGCCACCAGTAAACTTTCAATCATAAAAAAAAAATGTTATCTATGTATATTATAGGTAGCATTGAGTCCGTGTGAGAGATAGTTAAATAATTGCTATTTTCGACGTTTAGGTATTTTGTAATTTATTTAAATAATATTGTAATTTGAAACGAAAATTTAAAAATGGAATATTGTTTGTGGTTCTTTCAAAGTTTATTTTTTTATATAGTAAATCGGTATTCTGGTTACGGTCTACTGTTTCCCCTCAGGTGATCGACACAACAACGCTAATGCTGTGACCCATATTGAAGTATAAGGTCGGAATCTAAATTTCATTATAATAACATGTAGTAACATGTAATAATAATTGTAATAACCTTCGGACTAATTATTACCAACAGTATAATAAAACAAATCATTTATACATTGGATATTATTTGCCACTAACTAAAATTAGTGCTTGGAAAAATAGTGTCATCGAATAACTGCCCACAGTGAGAAAAACGATCCAAATAAATGAAGACTTTTAGTTTTGACGACCCACTAAAGCAGTATGACAAAGAATTTTCCAAGACGTTTTCCTTATGATAAAACATTCGATGTGTTTTAGCTATTTTCTTAGGAGGTAGATAAGGTTCGATCTCATTAATAGGAGTGTTAGTTCGTATATAATAAATCTGTATCTATTTGGATTTTAATTTCTGTATCTTACAATAGTCTGATGACCTCAATTCATATTAGATAAAACTTATTTTTGTTGAGTGATTGAAACCAAACTTTGGATTGAAATACAGGGCCATTATCACTCATTAATCGTGTAATAAAGAGAGTAAGATAATTAATTGATCCACTTGATTCTCTCGGTGCAGCATGGCACAGTTTCTAATTAGAAATTAAGCTGAGCTCTAAGGGGCTATGGTAATGTCGCTTAATCTTTATTATTATTAGGAGGAATCCCTAATTATTCCGAATGCGCTACAACCCTTTCCATGCCACTTGATATTTTGTATATGACAGAGACTAACAAGAGTTTCTCACGTTTCTGTAACTTTAAGACCACTCATTACGCATGAATTTTTGCATACCTTCAGAAATTTCATAGCAAGCCGACAATAACTTGACAACTGGCTCTGCGCTTGACATAATATGGTCGGGATTCGTTCAGATTAAATTTTGATAAAATTGTATTCCAAGTTTAGGGATGTTTCATATTAAGTCCGATTGCAAATTGTTAAACCAAAAGAAGAATCGATCGATAAAAGGGATCTTGAAGCGGGAAAGCGAAGAAATATGCAATATTTATGAAAGGCTTATTATTCATTGTATTAACCGAAATCGCATTTCGTCTTTTCGCATTAAAAGTGTACAATTTTCACAAATATTCGAAATTGAGTTAATATGCGGAATCATTTTTATTCAGGATTTTAGTCAGTATTTTTCTCATAATTCCTGTCAAAAGAGCGTAGTTTAGTTTTAGGTTTTTTTTTAGTTTACCTGTGTTGACTACTATTAACAAAATTAATACATAATTTTATCTTAGTTTAAAAGACAGATAATGTAACTAATAAAAAATTATTGTCGCAAAGATGATTAATATTAAAAATGTCACACGTTAAACCTTTAAAAAACTCTCCTGTAAAATTAGTAAGTTTTGAGATTATACAGTTTTAATCCGAGAAGACGATTTGACCTTTAAATACTTTTATTTCTGGTGTTAACTGATCTCAATAGTAAATTGGAAAAAAATCCCGTTACATTTGATGTTCCCATACTCTAAATGGTACTCTGATTTGTATGAAATCGAATTTCTGTTGGAGCCCCACAGTTAATTCGAACGTGAATGTGGGACTTCCGGCTTACCGGTCCGTAAGTTTTACAGCCAACGGAGGTTAAAACAAAGTAATTATGTAGACCGAGTTGGCGCAATTTTACTAAAAAAACATCTTCTAATTGTAAAAATTACAGGAATTCTTTTTTATTTTCAATAAAAATTTTACGTAGCGACTTCAGATAACTTTTACGAACTGCTCGAGTGAGGGAACAGATCTGTTAAGTAATTTTGTTAGATTCAGTTCGGGGGGTTTCGTGATCTTACATTTAGATAATGCGCTGAGAAAACTGGGACTTTAGAATTCCGGTTTTAATAAAACTCTTAAGAATCCCTACTGTAGTGGATGCGATATATTAATAGTCAGAATCATTAATTATAAACATCTGATTTCGTATTGAGGATTGCCTTAAATGATGCATCTAAGTCTATGTATTTATCTTTTCAAGTATAATATATTTATATATATCATATAGGTCATTAGTTTTTTTGGGAAATTTTAGTTTTTAATATAAGTCAACACCAAATTATAGACAAGTCTTGAATGGAAGGTTTTTAGAATTATGCTAATTAATACTCGATTTAGTTAGTATTTAGTTATAAGATTTATAATATCAATATTGATAACTACACTTTTATAAAGGATGTGTATGTATATACTCCAACAACGATAAGGATCAGGTACAAATAAAGACACATGCTACATTTATTTAGTAGACACAGTTTTAGTGCTTGGAGAATTTGAGGTCGATTGAAGATTTTAACGGAGAGGGATCATTGAATGGGAACGTGCCGATGCTTGATTATAAGGGAACAATAAATTTGTAATTCATTGAAAACATTAACAAAGAGGTTGAAACGAAGACACAAAGTATTTGAAGTAGGCTTAGAGGTAGCTCTCGGAGAAGTCGAGGTCGGAGACTGAGGCTCGCGAGGAGCGGGTGTAGTTGGTAGAGGTGCCGTAGTCTGAGGTGGCGGTTGCTAGGTCGGCCATTACCGCCCCGCCGCCGCCCGTACCTTGCGTCACGCCGTCCGCCGCCGCAGCCTCCCGCTCCGCTAGCTTCTGTTTCAGCACCCGAATACGTTCCTCCTTCTGTAAAAATCACTCGCTGTCATATTTAGTTAGCTAATGTTTTGTAAGTTCTAAATTGGCAGACGAGCTCATTGGCCTAATGAGAGTAACACGAACCCGTAGAAACTATAAAGAAACAGGTAAAAACCATGTTTAGCCCAGTGTGCCGCGGCGGACGTAGCGTGTCGTCTATTTAACATCTTTCGGAAAATAGTGAGCGAGCGAATGAGTGAGTGAGTGAGTGAGTGAGTGAGTGAGTGAGTGAGTGAGTGAGTGAGTGAGTGAGTGAGTGAGTGAGTGAGTGAGTGAGTGAGTGTGTGAGTGAGTGAGAGAGAGAGAGAGAGAGAGAATACTTTATTGCACACCAAAACATAATCAACATTACAAAACAGTTAACAAGACCATCTATTGTACACTTGTACAATATGTAGTCATATCGCTTAAAAGTCTTCTAGACAACCGTTTAATTAACAGATATTCGGGAATACAAAGACAGCAGGTATGTTGCGGTGTTCTATTAATAATACATTACTAAAGAGATTTGAATAGTGAATAATCTGAATAGTGAGTAGTCACTTTTTCAGTAAGTCGCTCATTACTTTTAGAGTTATTTCTTGACAATGACAATTCAACGTGTTAAATACTCATTGGTGCTAAGCTAACATAGACATCGCAACGTGAATGCCGCAACTCACCTTGAGTTATGTAGTCGAACTCTCAATGGGTTTTCATTAGTAGAGATCACCCTTTAAATTGAGACGCATAATTGCATCGCGACTGAAATATGTTTCAACCCACAAGACTATTCGACTAACGACTAACGATTTGACTGACGATAGTCAGACAGGCAATAAACAATATTTAGGTACTTATAAATAAAGAAAAACATTGCGAAATAGCTTGGCACATATTCGACGATGTTCACGATTGACTCCACGGTGAAGGAATAACATCGTGTAATAAAAATGAAACCCGCAAAATTATAATTTGCGTAATTACTGGTGGTAGGACCTCTTGTGAGTCCGCGCGGGTGGGTACCACCACCCTGCCTATTTCTGCCGTGAAGCAGTAATGCGTTTCGGTTTGAAGGGTGGGGCAGCCGTTGTAACTATACTTGAGACCTTAGAACTTGTATCTCAAGGTGGGTGGCGCATTTACGTTGTGGATGTCTATGGGCTCCAGTAACCACTTAACACCAGGTGGGTTGTGAGCTCGTCCACCCAAGTAAAAAAAAAAAAAACTTCAAATAATATAAGATGTGTATTTTTAGAATAAATATTATAGTACTCGATATGGATCATCGATAGTGATATGAATGAAAATATTTTCTTTGATTACTCGTGGATAGAGTATTGCGGGAGTTGAAAGAAGCAATACAATGTTATCTCATAAAAAAATATCTTGATCAATATTTATGTTTGGTCGGTTTAATGAAAAGTAGACTTAGAAAAATATTTTAATTTCTCATCAATGTTTCGTTTTTATTAATAACGATCGATCGTAGTCAATCACTAACTATAATTTAACCAACAATTTAAAGAAGCTTAAAATCACTCAATGTAAACCTATCAATTTACGATTCGATACATTTACAAAGTAATTTACATTTAATGACGATAGAGGCCTATGAAGGATAATCGGATTCATTCGGTTGAATCAATCAAACGTATCGATAATTGAACTGATAAAGCCACAATCTTGCTGTTATTTGACGTATTTGTATTGAGCTGTTTTGTGCGTGTGTACTTTTTAGAGTTATTTCAGGAGTCAGCTTAGGGTTCTGCATAGAAACTGTAAACATGAACCCTATTTAAGTCTTACTATCCGTATGTTACAGCTATATTCAATTAGTAACTAGGAATATTAAGGATTGTACTGCATAGTCTGAAAGGAGTCTTTAGCGGTAGGAGTCTGTGAGCTGGCTTTGCCTATTTCCTGACACACAACAGTAATCTTAACTTATCATCAGGCGGTCTATACTACCAGTATTAATAAAAACACATCTAACAATATTCAACAGGAAACAAACACTATTCAAATGCAAACATTATGGGCCTGTCTGATTCTGTGTTTTCTTAAAATAAATCTCAAAGAAATTAATTTTTGTATCTCTATAGATGAATTTATCATACATTAATGATCTCTTAAAAATGTTAGTTTGTTTAAAAGTAATATTAGTAAACTAGTTATAGAGCCATGACGGAGAATATGTTTTATTTCAATCGAAATTTATCATTAATTCTAATCCTTACTACAAAACGACGCTATTTGTTGTCCGAATCGAATAATCCTGAGGTTTATTAAATTAAAAAAATAATGAATATTACATCAACTTTTTGTAGATAAGATAGAAGTACATTATCAATTCGGAATTACATACTACGTATCTTTGTGATTGCTGATACCATATTTTTGGTTCTACCTAACTCCATTAGCCTTTAGGGTTATCTTGGCTTCAGCTTGGTGCGCGAGCTCACGAGGCTCAGCCTGAGAGGATTAGCTAACATCAGTTCTAGCAAGAGCAGATCTTCGCTGAATCTACCACCGGATCGGAACTTCGACTCACTGAGAAGATCTAGCGAGAAACTCTGGTGGGTTGATACCATCTAATGACGAGTTTAAATTACATGTGATTCGAAGTGGGATAGCCTATGGATTTGAAATGAATGAAATGCATGACACAACTCCTGTAAAGTTTATTGTTTCAACGTTATCCTTTAGAAATGAAATATTATTGTAGTAATGTAAGATTCTGTGATTAAATAAATGAATAATTTTCATTTGACGCGTTTATTGCTCTGTAAGGTTGACATCAGCTGCCCACAGCAATGATGCTGGATGACGACCACGACCGCTCTGACAAGAGTGATACGTAATACGAATACGAAGGTTACGTGGACCCACGCAGAAATTGCATGCAATGCATTATGAAAAAAAATACTTTTTTCTTTCATCTTCTTGCTTTAAAATTTAAAACAAACTTTCTAAACTCAATTGTGCTTGCCGTCAATGAGTAGTCGTAAATTTTAAAGCAAACCTGTTTGTGGCTGATTTCAGCACGTGATGTAGTGAAGCTGGTGTTGTATTTTCAGGTTGAGCTCATGAGCTTACTTACGGGTCCGCGCGAAGTTGGAATAGCCCCTTAGACTACCAACGATTAGGTAGGAAAAGAAGCTGTTTTTCAGCCTATGTGATCGCATGAGACACTGACTTAGAGTACAAAGATAAGACTCGTAACGCCCGTGTTATTAGTTCGTTCATAAGCATACATACCTGTGTAATTAATTTTTGTAATTCTTCATTTTCTTTGACTAGTTCCCGGTAGCGTTCCTCGTCGGCCGGCGCGGAGCCGGAACCAGACCCTCGACCGCTTTCCACGCGCTCGGTTGGATGACGAATCACTTCTATTACCTGTTTAGAGCGTTATTCATTTATACATGTTACATTAGAGTATTTTTTTAATTATTAAGGCGTTATAAATAAATAAATATTTTTATATATAATTTTTTAAGTTATACTTCTTTAGGCGCGTTATGAAAAATTGATGAGAGTGAAATTTTACGATGCGCGCGCACCGTGACACAAAATTAACAGAATGAAGTTGCCCACTAAATCGCGACGACCGACGTAACTTGGCGAGTCTGAATGTAGCCGCAGGTGAACTTTCCGAACCGCACCGAGAATTACCGAATTTATACGATGTCAAGAAAAGGGATGTCCAATATGCGTGTCTGAGGATGTTGTTTAATCGATTTTTTTTCAAATTGTTAAAATTTTAATTAAAAAATAAAAATAAAATATATCTTCTTACGCGCGTATATAAGTACACGCACCCTTTTTTTATTGGCGTAGATGGGTTGACGAGCAATTGGACCAATCGATGGTAAGTGATTACCGGAACTCATAGAAACGGTAGCGTAAATGATACCATCCAACGAAGATCGAAAAGAAGGACGATATTTTTAATTCTATGGAATTTTCAATGTCTTCATTTGAGCCGGACCTTTAATTGTTTTGAGGCAAAATTATAGGAATTCCTATAGCATATTTGCTACATGCCCTATATCCAGTACTTGAAACATCAAGAAAATACATAAAGATTTTCTGACCGCATATTTCGGTAGATTAGCCATACTGATATCTTTAATCAGTAAAAAAATGTGCCTAATTTATCGATTGATAAGCTCTTTCTGGATTGAAGATATTAATTATGAAATCCAACGAGATATCTGATGATGATTAGGCAAAAATCTGCTAGGCTAATTTGCATCCAAATTACCGGAAGAATCACTCCAAGTTACTAATGTATTCAAATTGAAATATAGTAGAGCGGAAAAAGATAATTGGTATTCGTTCACTTTCATTGTTGCAAAAGGCAAACAAACCCTTTATCGTAAACACTACTAATAAAACGATTTAATCGAATATAAATATGCTGGTAATAAAGACGATATTCTATTCCGTTAAGCTTCTAAGGATTACAACATAGTAATTTTCTAAGTAATTGCTGTAATCGGTTTAGTGAAAGAAAACTAAGTGATTGATTTATCTTCGACGATACTCAGTAGCTAAAGTTGATTGTATTGATAGTAATGTTTTTTTAACTATTCATTACTCGTAAATGTCAGGTATGTACACGAATATAATTTTATTACAATATGTGAACACGATAAAGGTGTTGCTTTACGCTAATTGCGAATGTGATAAAAGTAATAGTTTTATTTACAAATATTGTTGTTTTAAAATGTATTTCGTATTTAATTAATAACTAGTATATGATTAGATACCGCTTTGAGACGTCAAAGATTAATTATCAACAGGTCACATGGTTGGCCATGTGGCTAAATAAATTAGTTTGTTGTTAACCCGAGAAAGTGGTACAAGGAGCGCGGAATGTATATTTTTTATCTATATATAGATTTTAAATCTCTAACAGAAGTATGCCGTTATGCATTGAAGATATCATAAATCGGCGATTAAGTTTTCGCGTATTTGATATACAATATCATGATATAATTTTGTGCCATTTTGTTTGATAACTGGCTGCTATTTTGAATTATAGGTAGAGAGACAATGCCAATTTTTGTAGACATTTTGGGACTTCTGTTAAAGAATGCGACAAGGTTCAAGTCTTGAGAGTCATCTCTTGATATTAACTATACTCCAATATCGTGGTATTAATATTATGTTACTATTAGTAATAAGTGACACAAAAAATTTTCGTGGCTTATGTTGTTGACCTTTTTTTCTTTCTAATAAAACTTCTAAAACCCTAGTAAATTACCACAAAACTCACCTTAGGTACGAATATTAGGGCCATACTCAGGAAGCAACAGAAGACAATCGCTAGGGAAACGAAGGCGAACGCTGCGTCTTGTTGACTCGCAATGACCAACGTAACCGGCGCAGTGATAAGGCACAACACGACCACGTTGTATATGCTCATGCCGACGTAGCGAGAGTCATTAATCTGTCGAACCTTCACCGAGCGTGTCTCGTAGGCCAGGAACAGTCCGAAAACTAGCACCAGGCCTTTGTACCCGTACATTACGCCTACAAAAAAGTATAATTTTTTTATTGCCTAGATGCGCGGACGAGCCCACAGCCCACCCGGTGCCAAGTGGTTACTGGAGCCCATAGACACCCACAACGTAAATGCGACACCCACCCTGAGATATAAGGTCTTAGTATAGTTACAACGGCTACCCCCCCCCTTCGAACCGAAACGCACCACTGCTTCACGGCAGAAATAGGCGGGGTGGTGGTATCCGTGCGGTTGCCTTGTGGTTGTAGAAGTTTATATGTAGAACAAGCTTCTGCTGGTAGGATGTTATGTGAGTCCGCTCGGTTAGGTACCACAATCCTGCGTATTTTTTGCCGCGAAGTAGTCATGTATTCCGATTTGAAGCACTGGGACAGTCGTTCTATTATAGCTTGTGACTACTGAAACGGGAAGCATTGGCGCAATCCTTCTATTATAAATCGCGACTACTAGGTACTTCAGGGTAATCAGTTTTCCAGTAGTAATCGCTAATATATTCAAGTTGTGTTACTTTAAGCTCTGCAGGTTACCGTAGCTCATATATATCAAAATGCCGCTATTATCTTCAGACAGGAAGACTATTGTATATTCTGTCGCAATAGTCTTAATATTATTTTAAAAATATTGTCTTCAAATCAAGACGCGTCTCTGCTACGCACCAGAAATGGGTAGATGAAATAGTGGTACCTATCCAAAGTGGTTAGAATAAAACTACTACAAATGGGTTAGGGGAAGTACTCGCATGTGAAGGTCAGGTTGTGTCACACCCGTAAATTTTGATGGCTATTGGCTATATGAAATAAAATCGTCGGGCCTGAGCTTATTAAATGTGTAATATTGAGTACCTATACTGATGGATGAATGAAACTTAATTATACTCGTATGGATTTATTACAATGAATGATTATGATGCGTTTGCATCAAAGGCAGAAACAAAAAAAAATACATTTCAGCTTTGATATGAATCCAATATTACTATTGCTTGCTGAATTTAAAAACAACGCAAGTAGCTTTGGCTATAATCTTGAGTTTTGGGGTTTATTTCTTTTTTAAGTTGTTTGGTAATTCAAACAGCACTTACTCATTTAAAAAAAAAGTTAAAAAAAACGTGGACGCTTTTAAGAAGTTTTAGTCATCAATGCCTTTGAATTGGATTTAAAAGCATTGTGAAAACACTTGGAAACGGAGGTAAAATACTGCTGTTTACGACGCTTAAAAGTTTAAATTTAATTTGAAAAGTTAGTTGCTGTCGCAAATTAGTTACAGTAACGAGAAAACGGAAATTTTCAAAACTTAATTTACTGTTTGCTGTACTCTAGAACCCCTCATATTAGATCATCATTCATAATTATTACTGATGGTAATTGGGGACCACGAGATTTTGAGAGTTTTAATTTTTAATTAAAACTTGGTTCAGCTAAATTGCTTCAGGAACTCCCCGAAAACTGGGTCTCGTGGCAACACGTTGTTTTATTGGCCGACTTCTCATGTGCAACATGGAGTTTGATGGATGTTTTTTACAAGGCAAGTTGTGAATAAACTGAAAAAATTATTCATATCCACAAGGAAATTTAACATAAATGCAATTTTTTTTTTATATTGACGGCAAAAAATCCATAGCGTACTTGGTTGTAACTAATTACCGTTATCGTTAATACATGCTGACAATTCTTTGAGAAAAACAGGAGAGGAGAGAGAATTTCATTCAAAAGCTCTTTTGGTCGGTGACAAAAATTATCTCTGAAAATACATTGTGGTTGAATGCAGTAATTCTATGGGTAGTCGTTCATCACACATACTTTCTTTCAGACAATTCTGTTCATCACACATACTTTCTTTCAGACAATTCTTTAGATCATTATATCCTGTAATTGTAAGTATTGATAAAGCATTCCTTACCAAGCCACACGGTGTTATGTTTGCTCTCACAGTGTTCCAATTCGGGTCGTATGTGCACGTCGTCGTCGTGATGTCGCGGGGCTTCCAGGGGGAATGTCTCGACGCGTCGCTGCAGCGGGTCCCGGAGCTGCCAAGCTGTCAGGAGTGCAACGTCTACAACGAGCAGTCCCCCGACCATTGTATACAGTTTCCAACCATGAATGCGTTTCTGAAACCAAAGAAAATTGTAATCTTCTAACGATACATACTTTTTGGAACGAAGTTCCTTATGGGACGATGCGGAGGGGTACCCTAACCGGGAAAAAACGTCCGTAACGTAAGATTTTTATTATACGACCTAACTTTGTAATAACGTACAAAAAATAAGATATTTTATTTTATCATTCATTGACCACGATCTCAGAGCGTTCGTTTGCGCAATACACTAACTCTTATGCAAACAACCGTGAATGAAGTGTACCACAATAAGTTCGCACGTTACCGAATGACTATGAATTATCATAAAACACGCACAAAAAACAGGGCAAATCTTTGTAAATAATAAATTGAATAATAAATAAGAAATCGAATCGGTTGAATTAGGTCGATATCCTTGGAATAGTTGAAAGATGACCCCTGATGAAGGTGAAAAGAATATATCTGTTTTGTGGAACCGGAAAACGTCTAGACGGTTAAAAATTTGTTGATTTGATGGAATTGAAAAAGATTGCGCAGCTCTAGAAGTTCAAGAGCGACAATATGTACCGGCAAAGTGCAAGAACGAAGTTATTCCTCGTATCGGAGGGCAAGATAGTTTTCGAGATGCTGAGCCTTCTTTAAAGGGCCCCATATACGGAACGATCCGTCTCCACGATCCGACGTTTCAGACCAATCAAAAGGACGGATCCATAGTGTATGTGAAGATCGTTAACGATTTACTATAACATACACTATCTATCCGACCTTTCGATCGGTCTGAAACGACAGACCATGGAGACGGATCGTTCCGTATATGGGGCCCTTAAATGATAATGATACGCTTTGAGCGCTTGAAGCGGCTGGAGAGCTTGCTCTACGCTCCTGGTACTGCAGATGTTCGTGAAAGACGATAACTAACCACGATTTGGTTTGACAATAAAATATCAAACACATCCAGCTGATACACTCTAAGGGAAGGTGTTAACAAATTAAGTTAATGAAATGCTAAATTCTTCCAGTGCGACATATCGATAAAGTTCTAACACACCCAAATCGTAATTTGATTGGCAATTACGTCGCTTGGGCACGATTCGTGTCGAGAAAATGAAACGCCCCTAAATTGGATGCGTAGGACGAGGTGAGAAATCGTTGCCTTCACTGAAATCAATTTCAATGTGACCTCGTTATGCCCTGTTTTCTTCTCACCCCAATCATTGTACATAAATTTACTTTAACGTAATTTTGAGCGTATTTCAAATACATATTTTCAAGGTTGTCATAAAGCGACATGAACAAAATCTTTAATATTAACATCAGCTTAAATTCCATTAGAATTAATCGTTTGAATGGAGTGTCGGTATACTTTTTCGGAAACCCACAAATTTACAATTTGATAAAAGAAAATATAATGTCGCTTGATTGTCAGAAACAACATTTAAGAAAGATTATTAACAAAAAATTGTATAATATAAACTAGTTAAAAATAGGTCCATCCGTTATAGATTTTCTAAAATATAAAAGACTTTGATACTTGGGGCACAGATAATATACATATCATGTCTACGCCTGAAATGAAATGAAATGTATGAAAAAGTTGGTTAATTATGATTGAAGTGAGTATTTTGGTTAAGCATTGTTTGAAAATAATGTGTGGTGTATTTGTTAATTTAAAAAAGGTATCGTTTTTGTTAGTTAGATATCATCTATTTTCTTTATTGGCTAATTATCCAATGAGCCAGCAAGTGATATGCATTGTCAACAGAATATGTTATGAGCGCTCTTGATCATGTTTCATTTAAGTATCTTTATGACTGATGAATCGTGGCCTAAAGGATAAGACGTCCGGTGCATTCGTGTTGAAGCGATGCGCCGATGTTCGAATCCTAGGCGAGTACCAATTTTTCTAATGAAATACGTACTCAACAAATTTTAATGTTCACGATTGACTTCCACGGTGAAGGAATAACATCGTGTAATAAAAATCAAACCCGCAAGATTATAATTTGCGTCTGGTGGTAGGGACCTCTTGTGAGTCCGCACGGGTAGGTACCACCACCCTGCTTATTTCTGCCGTGAAGCAGTAGTGGTTTCGGTTTGAAGGGTAGGGCAGCCGTTGTAACTACACTTGAGACCTTAGAACTTATATCTCAAGGTGGGTGGTGCATTTACGTTGCAGATGTCTATGGGCTCCAGTAACCACTTAACACCAGGTGGGCTGTGAGCTCGTCCACCCATCTAAGCAAAAAAAACAACGTAGGTGCATTTGAAATCTTGAAATTGCTGTCATTAACTTTTAAAACACTTAAGTATTACAGAAATGGTTCTTTAATACGAATGCGTGCTTAAACAGTCCAAATATAGGTATTGGTTTAAGATTTATTGCGGGTGAACGTTTTTTGCAATTGGTTCAGCGCCAAACTAATGTTCGTAATAAATTTTCCGTTGTTAAAATGTTTTAAACACGTTACTAGCCTTAAATGGAACCTTCTATGTCTAGTATTTGAATATTAGTGTATCTCTTTTTGATCATATCTGTAAACTGTTACTATACAGATGAACGGGAATCACTTTGGTTGTGTAATACCAAAAAACTTGTCTTTAGTTCGTCTCACTGTCATCGTAGCGAGATACATAAACTAAAGCTTTAGTTAAATTAATAAGTGTTTTATATATACAGTTTTTTAGATATTTTTAATGAACAAAAAAGAAAACAGATGAATGCTTCCTCGATATGGGATGGGATACACTTCATCTATTACGGTAACGTCTGCTACATTATTACCCATGTATTTGTTACTGGCCTATTTGTGTTCAGCTGTGTTTGTTCCATAGGGTGGTTATTCACAATATGACACTTAGCTTTGTCTTATTCGCAATGGTCGAAGCACTAAACAATTTTAAAATGATGTTCAAAATTCCTCACCTTATTATCAATTTTTGGTTTAGTCGTATGTCGATGTACCCTCCAGACTTTCGTAAACATTGCTCCATATGCCATCGAGAATCCTGTAGCCAAGAGCCAAGCTCGGGCAGCGCACAATCCATTGAAGTGTTGAGGTAGTACCCATCGCCCATCGACGCCCAAAGCTACTGCCGCACAGAGACACACGCAGCATCCACAAAGCATTACGGTGTTGCAAGCCGGGTGGGACCATTGTATTACTCTAAAAGTTAGAAAACGGAATGGAATATAAAGTAATAACGAAATGTTTTAAGGATTTAGACATACATATATCAAGAAAATCCCGTAGACCTTTAGTCACAAGTGACTCTAGTGTTAGTGTTATGGTACGCTCGATCAAGGATATAGCTGTTTGGTACTAACACGGACACTTGCTATAAAGAATAGCGGCGGTAAAACCATCAATGGCTCATGCAATATTGACAAATTTCAAGCAGAGTGTAAATTTTTTGCCGTTCACATAAAAATATAATGCAGGCTTATTGATACCCTAAGAATATAAAGCTGGAACAAAAACGTTACGAGAGCGCAAACTGCCAGGGTTTAATGTCTATGACGCTGTTCTCTGGCAATAAAATAAGAAGTAACAGGATTACGATTCTGATAAATGGAAGCCATTGATGGATCGCACCGATACTGTATTGAAAGCACAAGGACTGTTGCCAATTTTGCGATGATATATCACGAATTTACAAATACAATGTTTTACAAAAACATTGCGTTGGAACCCTTGTTTTTACGAGTAACGCAATGAAATTGAAGAGGGTAGAATTTAAATTATTTGAGTATCATGAACGACATCTGGCAATAAAATGTGGAAAGCTCGGCTTCATAGAAATGTATCTAATGAATTCACGAATTTAAATACGTTGTTAGTTATTTGATTGTATTAAGTCATTTTCCTAAACCTTGCTTTAATATGATCTAAACAAAATTAATGTTGACTAAATAAGTCCACCACCAACTTGCTGAGCACTTTATGTTAAAGAAAATGAGAAATTTATGATTTTAGTAATAAAACAAGCATGCTCATGATGTGAATCAAGAATTAACGCGCTGAAACATCAAACGCGTTTACGATTTAAAACCGATCCACCGTATCATAAATTGCCCTAATTGATTTACCAGACCCCTGTCGATATCAGCGAACGTTCGGACTCGTATTCTGTCACCCGGGGCTGACGTTGACAAGGGGTCCTTTAAACAAAATATGACCTTACCTTCTGTGTCTATGCATTATATTAAATACGATAAGAGCTATGGCTGCCAATATTCCAGCGATGCAGAGGGCCGTCATACACGCGAAAAGCGGCAGAGAAACCGTTCGCAGCTCATTGACGACCACAGTTCGATCGGGAGGGACTTTTCCACCTGTCATAACATAAATCTTTGATTTTATGTATTGGTGACGAACGTAAAAGCTCGCGTAAAACTATTATTTATCGTTTAGTGCTACGAATAAATAAATATTGCCGTTCGACTGGTCTCCTTCCAAGAGTTCTTGTTGGTTTGGTTTAACGACGCGGTTAAATTAGTTCTTATGTGTAACCGGAACTGTATTCGCACTTTGCCCTTTAGCTACATTCTCGTAAAAAAGAAATCATATCAATTCCTTTCTAAGCTTTATTATGTTTGGATCGCTTTCTGTTGATGCTATATTATATTTATATTTGTACTGATGGTAGGACCTCTTGTGAGTCCGCGCGGGTAGGTACCACCACCCTGCCTATTTCTGCCGTGAAGCAGTAATGCGTTTCGATTTGAAGGGTGGGGCAGCCGTTGTAACTATACTTGAGACGTTAGAGCTTATATCTCAAGGTGGGTGGCGCATTTACGTTGTGGATGTCTATGGGCTCCAGTAACTACTTAACACCAGGTGGGCTGTGAGCTCGTCCACCCATCTAAGCAATAAAAATAAAATTAAAAAAACCTTTGAGAGTAGTTTTACGATAACGTTTTAATTTTGATATCTAATGTAATTTCGGCACTAATTTTAATATTAAAAGCATAATTTAACCTAATTACTTAGTTTACGTGGTGACTTAATCTTAATGAATTAATATTTCCAGTTTGGAGGGTGGGATGTTCATTATATTTATATCAATGAGACTTTGACCTCATGTCTCAAGGGGGCGTTTACATTGGATGTTTATCGGCTTCGATAACGACTCACTCTTTTACTACTTCAATAGGCAGAAGAGCATTTCCAACCGATCGTTGATTTTCAGGAATTGAGACTATGGTTTCATAGTATTATTAATCGTTTTCGTTCAATTGTAAATTAATATTCCATAAACAAAATCCTTTTAATGTTTAGCGGCTCTGTCGTAGCAAACTGCCATTTGGACCAGTCCGTATCATAACGGGTAAGACATACAGTGTACTTGTACCGACTGATATTGGAGCTCAAATTTGTCTGGAAGCAACTTTTCTGAGTAATAATTTGTTACCCAACAAATATTAATAAATATTCGCAATCATTATCCATTTTCAAGATAAAAGAATAACGACGCGTAATATAATGAACCCTATTTAAATTTACAAAACTTAACCGGTGGTAGGACATATTGTGAGCTCACGTAAGTGGAGAGGCATCTACCACCCTCTTACTTTTGCTTTGAAGCAGTAATGCGTTCTTGTTTGAAGATTTTGATCTGGTAACTACTCAACCCCAGATAGTCAGAGAACTTGGCTGCAAGCATTGAACTACGAAATCGTGCAAAAAAAATTAAAATTTAATACCTCTCGTAGAATATAGCAATTAGAAAAAAAACACCTCATTTTAATTTAGTCAATTATTCTTCCCCTTCCCTGCTCATGTTACCTGATTCATTAACGTGGATTAATTAAAATTTACAAAATGTTTTTAAAGGTGGATTGTTTTTATAAATAACAATAGAGTCGACAGAGTTTGAGAGTTAAACGAAGCGGTTTCTTATTACATAACGATTACGATGATAATTTGGATTTCCTTGAAGATAAATTAAGTTAGTATTAGGTCACGTTGTAGGTACTACTGGAGATATCAGCCAAGGATGGTTGGCGTAAAGCAAGCGGTCGGTCGTAATACTGTGCCAAATCTCGATAATAAGAGGACATGTTGCGCCGACCCCACATAATGTGGGATAAGGGCAAGAAGAAAGAGATACCTGTACCATTGACCCGTACTTGAACGCAGGAGTCACTAATACTGTCACCTGTTTACGTTTTCTGGAATGTTCCGCTCTCACACCAATAATAAGTAAGAAAGAGTTTACCCGTTTACAAAGACAGCGTATTCAAATATGAAACAAAATGCTTTATTCGCACCTTACAATTTACTTGAGATTTTATTTTACCTATTCAGAGTCATGTTCGTTGACGGGCGATGGCGGGAGCTTGATTTACTTTTCTTAAATTATATTGAAATAACCAATTTGGTTGGGATGACGTGACGTATATTAGATTTTTAGGTTGTTTTTTTTGCTGTCAAAAGATTTACATGTTTGCATTCATACAAAGGGATTATGTATTATGGTAGGCATTAGTTTTTAGAATTAGAATTGGGATTTCGCTATACGTGGGCTTTAAGAAATGTTGACGGTTTTACATTAAATAGTTTTAGACCTATTTTTAATACCGCTTTAGATAGTAATTTTTGGCAAAGATGCATCGGTCCAAACTTTGTATATCTTGTTGGAGTCTCAGCGAAGTTATGTTATATAACTCGCGAGTCATTTGATGAAACATCAGTATGGAGTGAGGCAATTAGGGCAAACCTTTTCTAATATTTGAAGACAATCGTGCGAATGAGAAGCCCTTTATTAAACTAAAATGGAGACACTTTCCGCCACTTATAGTGTTACATTACGAGGAGGCATTGTGTAGTAAAATCAGTTTTTTTTAAGGGATTAAAAAGAGATAATTTTCCTCGTTATTTTGATTACGATAGTAATAGGTACGCGAGCGGTGATTACCTACCCGTGCTGGCTCAAAATACGCCCTATCACCAGTACAATTATTTACATTTATTTGAATTTTTTTTATTATTGTAATGATACATGTACTTACCGACCCACCGTTCCCGATCTAGCCAAGTAAGGTTGTCTGCTTGTGTATCATAATATCCAAGTTTCACGTAATGATTGTCTGTTAATTGTTCGATTTGTGTCAGAGCTATGCGATCACCTTGAGACGAAAATGCTACCAATCCCTGTGAACAAAATCTTATTATTTAATAATCGTAATTATTATTATTTATTTATATTTATTTAAAATATTATTAATTACATAATATTTAAAAAAAAAAGATATTAAAAATACAATTTTTAAAAAAAAATAGATTGCCGCTGAGGGCGGTGTCTACGACACAAGCCACCACTGGTTAGGATTATTATTATTATTATTAAATGAAAATCAGTAGTACGATTTATATAGAGAACTTAATTTCTTTTTATAAAAGTCCAATTTAAATATACAGTGACTCAAGGAATCAGAATGACTTTTAAATATCCAACCATTTCACCAATCAAGAATTTGTTGGCACTTGCCAGTAATTCAAACACGCTTAGAAGGCTTCAAAACAAAACTTCTAATATCCTCATTAAATTGTTTGAAGGGTGACAAGAATGTGGCTTACTTGAGGCTGAGTAGTAATAAACGCTCCAAGACGCTAATTACGATAGAGGATTCTCCTTGAATCTCGTTAGAAAGATATGATATAACGCGGAAGAAATTAATTAAAATGGCGAGTGGCGGGTGTCACTAGAGCTTTTTTTTATATTTTTTTATTGCTTAGATGGGTAGACGAGCTCACAGCTCACCTGGTGTTAAGTGGTTACTGGAGCCCATGGACATTTACAACGTAAATGCCGCCACCAACCTTCATATATGAGTTCTAAGTTCTCAGTATACCTATAGTTACAACGACTGTCCCACCCTTCAAACCGAAACGCATTACTGCTTCACGGCAGAAATAGGCAGGGTGGTAGTATCTATCCGTGCGGCCTCATAAGAGGTCCAACCACCAGTAAAGTAAGTAAAGTGGACATAGTTGTATCATCTTAAATAATTACATAACACCAGAGAGCCAAACCCCTTTTGTTGACTGTGGCAACTATTTTAATTTCTTATGTCGGCGAAGACAGACGACGTACATTTTTTGTAAATTAGTTAGAACAAAAACTGCGTTCATAAAGAGACCACAGCTGAAACTAGAAAATTTTGTGCTTATTCAAAGTCTTAAGAGACCGTTTGCATTCTCGGGTAAATGATTGTCAGAATTTTACTAATACTGTTCTGAGATCGATGCCATTCAAACTCTTTTGTTCTATAAAAGTAAAAAAATCTATGAAATGTGTTCACACATACTGAGTAAAATTTATAAAAATAAGTAATAGAGATCCGCTCTGCTATCTAAACCGATAAAGTATTTAAATGTATAATAACATATGTAGTTTAATAACTAAAAAAACACGCTTAAATAGGAAACCGAATTGCCAATTAATTTCACATTTTTTGTGAATTGTCATCGGTACAATACAAAATTACAGCGAAGTTATAAGATTACTATATTGTCGTCGGTCTTTTATAGGTGTGCAAATTTTCAAGCCAATCACACATATTAAAGTTGGTGAAAATGTTGTTCAAAGATTCCGTTCTATACAAAAAGGCTTGTTAAAAAAAGCGTCTTATTAGTTGCTATTTCGTCTCGTAATAAATATTTCTCCAAAACGGTCTCGCAGTCGCAACAAAAGTATGTACTCTCATTTATGTTGAATAAAAATTTTTTGATTTGATTTGATTTGAAAAATATTAACGGCAACAACAATTTGACTAAAGAAAAAATATCTAAATATTAAAATTAAAATTCATAGATAAGAAGGTTAACAGGAATTCCATGAATTTTTAACTCGTTAAGCCCGAACAAGAAAAAGAGCTTTATTAAATTTGAGAATGTAGGGCGCTTTTTTTAATTTACTTTAGGTGAAAATACATTTCAAAGTTAATTGTTTTTTTTAACATATTACGTTTCAGTAGATAGGAACAATTCGTGGTCCAGTGCCGTTAATGGCGTAGTTATTGCCATGGCATGCATTAGATGCATGAGGTCAAACTTTAATTTGTATCAGAGTTAAAGACTATGCTACTGCATATACATATATCTGTACGAAATGCACCATTGCTGTCGGTGGCTGCTTAGAAAATTGGGGGTATGCAATCCATATTGATTTGTAGCTGAAATAGACAAAACTAGCTAGACAAGGCTAGCTTTGTCCCATGACACGATGTGGTTCATTTGGTATATTAATTTATTAGTAAGTAACTTCTACTAAAAATAAATATTATTACTATGCAACTTAGTGTAAGGTGCACTTTAAAATCGGGGAGTTCCAAGGATTTGCAAGCTCACTAAGGATATTGCTGGTACTGACACAGACACGTGCTATAAAGGAGAACGGCGGTAAAGCCATCAATGGTCTAGAAAATATTGACAAATTTCAAATAGAGTGAATTTTTTAAGGGATTCACGTTTAAATAACATAACTGAAAATAAAACAGAAGTTATTTGTATAGGTAATGAATGACATAGCAATGAATATTTCAAATATGTCTGTGCTAGAACGGAAGACTAGTTTTGGGTGGTTTCTAAACGAATTTCTGAATTGGTTAATAAATTTCAAATGTTATATTTTTTTATTTTGGGCAGTAAAAACATAATCAAATTCTTATTGCGTCGATATTCCATAATCTGTTTCGCCCAACGTTGTTTATTAATTTTGGCAAAAGTTTGACATGCACTGTATGTTTATCTTTATTAGTAAAAGTACACGCGAGAGTAGGAAGACGTAAAGAGATAACGCGGTACTCACCGAAACACCAAGGAACGACGTCGAATTTATGGCTTCGTAAATGTCATCAGCTATTTTCTTGTTTGTGTACGTGAAATTCTTCAAACTCAAACCGCTCTTCTGCAGTTTCTCCATTGTTTTATTGAAAGCTAAAATTCGGTTATTTTATCGCATTTGTTAATTGACCTTTGGAGTCGTTTTTTAGGAAATAGAAGTAGGACCTTGGGAGTGTTAGTAACATTTTTTCTTGTAGTTTCGATTAGTGATAAAAAAGTATATATAACATTGTTAATGATTTCAAAATTAATACAAATTTAGAGTTAAACGTAACTATTGTATTGTTTATTGCAATTTTAAGTTGAAATATTCCTTGTACTGATACAGTCGTCCAACAAACATTTTTAATGTATTTTATAATCTTCTGTTACATTAGCCAAATCAACTGTTATATAATCAGAACACAGTGTTGGTTCATTTACATTTTGTTCTTAAGTTTGATACGAATGACTATAATTTTGACAAGTAAAACAGAAGAATTATTTTTCGCTTCGAATACTTATTAATTAGATTATGTAGGAGAGAGAGCTTTCTCGAAGTAATTTTGTTCCTAGAAGTTGTCTGAGTAGTATTTCATTTCATTTTACCAAGAATTTTGAATAGAATAGAATTAGAATAGAAAATATTAAACTTTATTCAGCACCATAAGCAAAAAGTTTATTATTCGATTTAATAATTAACGAGTGTTATCTTATAGCTTAAAGCGATATCTTCCGAGAAATCTTGTATTGAGTGGCCTTATTTAGTGAAAATAACGGTGATTTTCTATCAATACAATGTTTTTTTTTTTTTTCTTTTTTTTTTTGTAAATAAATAATAAATAAGTAAATATTTACTAACAGTCACGCCACGTTAACTGGTCCCGTGATAAGTTCGTAAAGAACTTGTGTTACAGGTACCAGATAACGGAAATAAATATAAGATTTTTATTATACACATACACATATTTAATATACATCCATAACCCTGGAAAAGACATTTATATTTATCATACAAATATCTTCCATTGGCGGGATTCGAACCCGCGACCCCCTTGTGTAGTGACCATGTCACTTACCACTACACCAGACGGCCGTTATTATGTTATTAGTTATATGTTATTAGTTACATTGTTCGATCGGCATTTTTATTATTTACGATAGGCTAGCTCTTTCCCCACCTGAATCCTGGAGCATACCCTAAATGCCGCTTTTTACTTTGAGACACTAGGTAGAAGTAGTAGTTTCTTAAAATATAGCGTAAAATGAAACGTATTATTTTTGTTCAAATATGAGCTTACATTGAGACGTTAGGTATAAATTTAATTTGTCTAATTAAAACGGAACGAATTACTGCTAGGCAGCAGCAGAAACAGCTAGAGTGGTGGTACTTTTTTTTTCGCGGCAGAAATCAAGTTCTAGTTTTGATGTAAACAGTTAATATAGAAAAATGATTACCCAGAGCAACAGACCAGACTGCATCATAAGCCAAGGGTGCCTCTTGGTAGCCTTCCGGATACCGTTCTCCATCGATGTCGTAGCCAGCTTCGCGGAGTGCCTCATTTAATCTTGACCTGACGACAAAAATGGCATTAAGAAATTTAAAATTCCAGTTGCAAAAAAATCTTTGGGGAATCCGGTTTTTATGAAAAATGAACATGTGAACAATGCTTAGTACTTCTCTATTACTGTTTTAGTCATCAAAAGCCCACTGAGTTTCTCGCCGGATCTTCTCAGTGGGTCACGTTCCGATCCAGTGGTAGATTATGCGAAGCACTGCTCTTGCTAAGGTTAGTGTTTATAGCGTCGTCAGGTGAGCTCATCTACTAGTTCTGTGAATCTAACTAGTTTAACCCTTCGAGGTTATTAGAATAAGTATGAAAAAAAGTCATTAAAAATAAAAATAAAAGCGTTAATGTTAAAGTTGTAACGTTTGTTGATGGTAGTATATCGTGAGCCTACACGGCTAGGTACCAAACACCATTTTGGTTATTTTTGGCTCCAAGCAGCTATATCTTCCTTTAAAGGATCAGACGTCTATTAAGTAATACAATTAAGATCTCGAACTCATATCTCGAGCTAAATGTCCTCCAGTAACCATTTAATATCAGGTAAGCCGTCACCGTTTACCTATTAACGTAATAAATTACCTTTTTTTTTACTAAAATTTGAATTCTTTCTTAGTCGTGACGCAGTTTCGATAACGTTTTGATATCCCGTTAACCTCGAATGAATGACTAGATCGGCACATTGTGTCAACCGAGGGCAATTGGCCAATAAATCACATATTAACGGTTATAAAGGCCATTTCTAGGTCGGGGTCTCTCGGGGCCCTTGAAATCACCGAAATGGCACACGAATTGTTCAGTGATTACGGCACGGATAAATTAATATCTAGACAAATAAAAATGTATTTTCGTTTGTGTCTCTGTCTATCATTATCATCATCATTATCAGCCCACAGTCGTCCACCGCTGGACGGACATATGTAGGCGTCTGTTCTGTAAGGGTTCGTATCCCATTCCGATAGAGGCACCCGTCACGTGCGGACGTGCTCATCGTTCACTCGATCGCCCGGTCTTTGTTCGCCCGGCTTTTGTTAGCCCGGCCATTGTTCGCGCGGCCTGTGTTTGTGGTACATCTGCCGACTAAGTGCTCTTTCTGGAAGTTTTTATTTGTTTTGTATCCTTTTGTTGTTTCTGTGTTCGTGGTACATCTGCCGACAAAGTGGTTTCCTGCAAGTATTTATTTGTTTTGTTTCTTTTCGTAATTTCTGTTTTGTTGTGCTTTTTCTTTGTCCTGTAGTAATCGCGCCGCATTGCCACCTGTGTTCAATAGAACCGCTCAGGTCCGAGAAGTTGGGGCCTCGCCGCAAGGCGAGTGTTTTCAAGACNGGGTCGCGATTCCGATCCGGTAGTAGATTCATTCGCGAAACAATTGCTCTTGAGTTGTTAGGTCTCCTTCGGAGGCGCTCGGGCAGTTGTTAGCAAATCCCACCCCTCTTGGCTGAGCCTTTGCTCGCCCACCTGTCCTGGTGAAACTGGAAAGGCCTTCGGGCCACCAGTAAACTTTCAATCATAAAAAAAAAAAGGTTCGTATCCGGTTAATCCGGTTGTGATGTTATTTGGAATAGTTGCTGTTGGCATTACAGAAGTGTCTGTCATAGTACCATTAACTTACGGTAGATAGCGCGCTAGGCTTCAAGAAATCGACGTTCCTCTTCAGTTTACGACAGTTTTAAAACACAATACTTAAAAAAGGCTAAGATTCTGCTGAAGGATTTGTAAAATCACAGATACCAGCAATGTATTGTACGAGAGGAGTACCAAAGTAAGCCGAGTTGCTTAGGGATCTGAACGGATTATTCTTATCCGGGTTAACCGGGACTCGAGATAGCCTGGCCTCAAATAGCAACCGTTTCCGCCTTATCGTTTGGACTCTCTGAATCGCGTTTGACAAATGCGGTGCGATTTTTCGTTAGTTTAATTCTGAAAACATTACGCGACTACCTCTTTTTGACATTTTTTTTCTTGGATTGACAAACGAGAATTGACGTTTTGAACTGGTAGGACCTGTTGTGAGTCCGCACGGGTAGGTACCAACACCCTGCCTATTTCTGCCGTGATGCAGTAATGCGTTTCGGTTTTAAGGGTGGGGCAGCCGTTGTAACTATACTTGAGACCTTAGAACTTATATCTCAAGGTGGGTGGCGCATTTACGTTATAGATGTCTATGGGCTCCAGTAACCATTTAACACCAGGTGGGCTGTGAGTTCGTCCACCAATCAAAGCAATAAAAAAAACAAAAAAAAAAGAGCTCACGGTCCAACTGGTGTGACGTAATTAGCGGAACCCATTAACATCGGCCTATAAGCATAGCGCTACAAATCACTAGTGCGGGCCAGCAGCTGTGACGACATTTTGATCGCGTTTACTGAAAAGTTTGGCCGTCTGTATTTGAACAATTAGGAACTCTATATTAAGTCTGTATTTTATTATTCTTATTATTTCAAGTGAATACCTATCCCCTATTTTGCGACCCGAATGAGTATAAATTTCATAGTATATAAGCCTTCAAATCGGAAATCAAAATTGCTTCACAGCCGATGTGGACTGGGCAGTAAAAACTGTCAGAGGTCGATTCTAGGACTTCCTGCCAATTATTATGCAAGCTATAAATTTTGTTACACCCTGTTATTTCTTCATCACAGAAATCAGTCGGGAGCACGTGTTGCTTGAGTATTTATTCAGAAAAATTGATTAAAACTAAAGGATCTGAAACTAAGCATAAGTGCGCCACGATACGAACACATCGAGTGTGTTGCCAAATACGCAACGCATACCCCGGAATGTTATTGGCATCAAATTATTTATTTGACATGTATAATTTTTAGATATACCTCGATTTCAAGTTTGTCATACTGGATGTGTATTTTTTTGCTTAGATAGGTGAACTAGCTCACGGTCTATCCAGGGTCTACTGAAGCCCCTATGAGCTTATCTATACATCACAACGTGAATATGAATCAAGTACGTATTTCATTAGGAAGATTGGTGCTTGTCTGCGGCATTCGAACACTGGCGCAGTCGCATAACTCGGTACGAGTAGATCGGGCGTCTTATTCTTTAGGCCACGACGATGACAGTAAAAAAAGTTTTTATAGCATTAGTAAGTAGATGTGCGCACGTCGTATAGAGAACTTATTACACAGGCATCTCGTACGTGAATTTAATTATTTTTTTGAAGTAATACTTCTTTAGGCGCGTTATGAAAAATTGATGAGAGTGAAATTTTACGATTCGCGCGCACCGTGACACAAAATTAACAGAAATGAAGTTGCCCACTAAATCGCTCATTACAATACGACCGACGTAACTTGGCGAGTCTGAATATAGCCGCAGGTGAACTGTCGCGCATGTACACTCGTAAAAAAAGTGTTATTAGCATTCATGTTTTAGTAATATAAATGACAAAATTATTATTTAATATAATTCATACTAAATATTATTAAATTATTAACGTTAAATATTTATTATTAATTATTTAATATTTAAAAAAAAAAAAAAAAGTATAATTTCTTACGCGCGTACATAAGTACACGCACCCTTTTTTTTATTGCTTACGTGGGTGGACGACCTCACAGCCCACCTGGTGTTAAGATATTCTAAGGTCTCAGTATAGTTACAGCGGCTGCCCCACCTTTCAAGCCGAAACGCATTACTCCTTCACGGCAGAAATAGGCGGGGTGGTGGTGCCTAACTGTGAGGACTCACAAGAGGTCTTACCACCTGCGGGTTTGATTTTTATTACACTATGTTATTCCTTCACCGTGGAAGTCGATCGTGAACATTTGTTAAGTAAGTATTTCATTAAAAAAATTGGTACCCGCCTGCGGGATTCGAACGTCGTTGCATCGCTAGATACGAATACACCGGACGTGTTATCCTTTAGGCCATCACGACTTATTTCACCATCGGTATATCTTTGAAACCAGAACGCATGGCTGCTTCGCCGTTGAGGGCTTCCAATACGCTCTGCCACCATTATGTACGTTTAAGATTATTCTTGATAATCAAAATCGAATAATAACAGTAATAAGGAAATTATAAGGTGCTTCAACAAAACCAAAAACTTACCTAAAATCTTCAGATGTCATTCCGGATATCGTAGTTTGGTTGGCATTTTGATTCCACATTAGAGCTTCGGTTGTGAGGTGACCTTCGGCCGCTTCTCTCATCTGTTCCACCGTGCATTCGATGCCTTCCCGTTCTAGATTCGTCTCGAACCAATTATCCTCATACCAACCTAAAAAAACGATCTTTATTAAGAACTTAGGGCTTAATAACTTTCTGGTTGACTCTTGGTATTTATAAAACTCCCCAACACAGAAGGTCAATGCATATTACATTATAATGTTATAAATTTAAAATTATATTATTAGAATAATATTATTATTATTTATATTTATATAATAATATATATTTTCTTCTTCTCTATGTATAAAAATGAATTGCTGTTCGTTAGTCTCGCTAAAACTCGAGAACGGCTGGACCGATTTGGTTAATTTTGGTCTTGAATTATTTCTGGAAGTCCAGAGAAGGTTTAGAAGGATTAGGAAAATACGAAAATGCTCGGAATTAAATAAAAATAACAATTTTGTTTTCCCTTTGATGTGTCCCCCGTCGGACGTAATCCTTTTGTTTGTTTTAAGTTTATTTTATACAAAAGTTTAGGTCTTTTAGTTATCGATTGAGGTACTAGAAAGTCTGCCGGGTCAGCTAGTTATTATATATAAAAAATGGCGGCACTACTTTTAATAAAAAAAATTTTTCGCTATTGTTTCTTTTTGGAGCCTATTTTTGGAGTCTCGACTTGAGTTTTTAGTCCAATATTATGTATATTTAAAATCTCGCATTTCATAGACGTCTAAAATATTTAAAAAATTAAAATCGAGAACGTATTAATTAAAAATGTTATTTATTAGAATTTATTAAACGACTTGAAAAATGTAGATCTGTGTGTAACCTTAGTGTGCATTGACCTTTAATGTCGAGATTTATATTCATCAAAATTAAAATCATAATAAAAAAATATGAAGGTTTTATTCATTGCCGTAGTTGCGCAAACGAACTGAGAGACGTCCTTTATTTGATAATAATATTTGTATATGGTAATGACGATTGGTAAGGTAACCGAAAATGACTTAAATACAGCGAGGGTGATAATACCTCCTCCAGCAATTCTCCTCACATTACTCCAGACTATCACAGCGATAATCGTTCATCGTGGAAATCGTGGCCAATAATTGAACCCCATCATAGTCATATCACTCGAACCGCCGCGGACAATTCTAAAATATTTATGATGCTTCGTATGTATGTGAATTAACGCGTTGCATGTAGGAATATATTGCGCATGTCATTGTAGTAGATGGAGCGTGACATAAAACTTTATGCCGAATCTTTTTTTTGTAAAACTATGAATACTAGTGGTCCCGCAGTAGTCGAAATTCGACTATAATTAATTGAAATTATAAGTTTCAACATTATTATGGTCCTATTGTTACAGATTTCGCCAAGACTACACTATAGACAAATATTCGTAATATTAAAGATAAACAAAACTAACCTATTCTTTTTTTTTTTTTTGTGATTGAAGNTTTGCTAATTTTAGCGGCCGCGGGAGCTCGAGACTCCGCGGCACGCTTCTTACCCTTTTGCACCAGGGTGAATCCATCCGTCGATGAGGCGGGAGCGAGGTCGACCTCCATCTCCGAGTCAGAGTCGGAGGACGAGGAGGCGGGCGCAGGTGACCTACGAGTAGGTGTTTTGGACGGCGCGACGGAGGCCGCGGATGATGATCGCGCTGCTGGAACGGTGACCACGGCGGACGACGCAGCAGTTTTACTCGCCACTATAGGCGACGCGGGAACGGCAGGCACGACGGAGGCTGCGGTGCTCGATGCAGAAGCTTTGCACGCAGGTACAGGCGACGCAGGAGCAGCGAGCTCGGTGGAGTCCACGAGAGGGCTCGCAGTGTGATCGGCCTTGAAGGCCTGAAACTCGGAAGTGAGCTTTGGGTAGCGAAGCCGGAGAAATTCCGCAAATACAGCATCCATGACGTCTACGTGCCCAGGTGGGGCTACCCTGGGTCTTAGAAAACACTCGCCTTGAGGCGAGGCCCCGACTTCTCGGACCTGAGCGGTTCTATTGAATACAGGTGGCGATGCGGCACGATTACTACAGGACAAAGAAAAAACACAACAAAACGGAAATAACAAAAAGAAACAAAACAATTAAACACTTACAGGAAGACAGTTTGTCGGCAGATGTACCACGAACACAGAAATAACAAAAGGAAACAAAACAAATAAAAACTTCCAGGAAAAACACTTGGTCGGCAGATGTACCACGAACACAGGCCGCGCGAACAATGGCCGGGCTAACAAAAGCCGGGCGAACAAAGGCCGGGCGATCGAGTGAGTGGTCGATGAGCACGTCCGCGCGAGACAGGTGCCTCTATCGGAATGAACCTATTCTCAATTTGGCTACAGACTTTAAGTAATAACAAAAGTTTGACAATAAACAAAGAGTATATGTGTGTGTGTCAAATACATGGTAGTGTGTGTAATGTTTTCCTTATTGATTTAATGTATTCCTAATCCATAATTAAAAAAATAAATTAGCATTCTGCACTTCTTCTCTATATTCTCTATACGTGTGGAAAATTTCATAATGCTCCGTCTGAGCAATTTTTTTAAAAAGGGATACAAAGTCTTTGCTTCACTTATTAATATATAGATATATCTTTCACACAATAATATAAAAATACATATTTTAACGAACGCCTAAATGAGGCGAACCTATAGACGAGTATCGGTGTTAACAATTTTTGCATCTCTGAAATTCTATTCGCTGTTTTCTATTTTTTATTCGATGCCACTTTCAAATCGTGAGTAATTATGGTACGTAGGTAGATACTGTCAAAAAGTAGCAACAGTTAATAAGCCAATTACGTGGTAAAAGTGGAATGATTCCGTTTTATTCGTACAGCAAAGCGGCGCCTCACCCTCGACCATTATTTATCCCCTTTTCTCTATCCATTTCCTTTGTCCTGTTTGTTAGTACGACCTGAGGCGAACAAATGTGTGTTTGTTGTGTCGCTACAGCGTGCCCGAGCCTCGCGGCCACGTATTTTCACGGAACTTGAGCGAAATGTTTTTTTCTGAATAGCAATATAACTTTCATATTTTTTTGGTTCTTTGTATAAACACGGGATATAAATTGCGTAGTTTCAGTACAAGGTTAGGCGGTAAATTTCACTTTGGTGTCAATTGTTCATCGTTATTCAGCTCTTGGGATTTAGTTTTTAGCGTGTTTTGTTGAATTTGGCGATATAATTTGTTCCTCCATTTATCATTATTATAAGAGACAATACGATAAAGAATTATAATTAAAAAAAGAGAGAAATTGTATTTTGGAGCAAAGTTATCTTGAATTAAATCTAGTCCAATCGCCACTGCTTTAAATGAAGTAATATTCACAGAAGCAAATAATAACTTTTTGATGTGTAGGAGGAGAATACTTTAGTCCCAGTCAGTGAAGCCGAACAGACGTTGATAGCCTGCCGAACTCACCTTGGCAGCCAGCCAAAACTGCACAGCACGAGCACACTCCTATCTACCGAGCTGGGTAAACCTCGAGAGCGTATCTCGAACTAATTTGAGTCCTTGTTTACGGATAATATCCAAAAGCATAACACTATTCCCCGTAATTAATTACTCAAAGCGTACTCCGTCAGACAGGAGGCGTAGTGTATTAATTGAGAATAGAATCCACATTGGAAGCAACGCAGTCTCTAAATTGCTATAGCTACATTAATTAGCGCTGGCAGACGAAGGCGGAATATAAATGCTCCTAAATTTAGAACATTAATGAGAATTGATTCAAAAGACAATCGCCATTCGTAACAATAGTCAAAGCGCGAGTCCGCGCGCCTTGCACGGATTCATGAATATCCAAATCAGGCTTTATTGGCCTTCTGTTTTCGTTATTGCTTTTGAAGTAAAAGTTAGAACAGGTTCGTATTTAACGGAAGGGACTCACGGCACGCTGAGGTGCAAAATATTGTCAACCTTTCTAACGAGGGTGAGTTACCAAAATTGGGAATTCAGTAAATTGTTCTCGTCCAGGTATGCTTTTGGGCGACCCAAACACGTAAACAGCAAAATGTTTGAAGCCAAATTATAAAGTTAATTTTAATCGTTTCCTAAATTTAGCCGGATTAATTATCGTACTTAAAATTTCGCATCAATTTTGTTTTTCTTATCTCTAAGTATAATGCCGCTACCCTTAAGATGGGCTTGTGTCTCTACCGTACGGCACCTTGCACTCTTTAAGCCGGAATACTCTAATGATTTACGTCAGAAACACCGTGCCATCCTGCCTAATTTTTTTTGCAAGCTAAGTAAAATCAGCTTGTAGAATGATTATTTTTGTTTCAATTCATTTGAATATACCACATGTTTTATATATTCACCATACTTTCTTCTAGTACAGTTCTTCTTCTTTCTAGTACAGAATTAACGGATATCATCATCGTTCCGCCAAATTCTGCCGCAGCTGTTGAAACTATAGTCAAATATCCCTAGATGAGTGAAAATATTTGTATTTGGGATTTGAACTCCAGTAACCATGTGTCCAGATGCACCGTGTGCTATTTTATCTTAAAAATACAAGCCCAAACAATTCATAAAGTTAATGAGCCGCTTCAATTAACGAAATAACTGCCAACCTGATAAAGCACGGTAATCAAACCACATCCATTATCGTTAACTGATAGTTCAACCGCTAATGAAAACCGCAGATCCGACCAAAGCACAATGATTTGTGGCCATAAGAAGACGACTTATATAGCAAAAAACAATCGTAGCCATCTGTATGTATGACAGTTACTTCAGAAGACGGTGACACTGACGTTTCTTACAGACACGATCCACGATATTATAAAAAGGGTTTTTAATATTGAATCAATGTTACAGAAAAGATCAAAGAATAGAACAAAGGTACAGATGTTTTGTGCAGAGATCCTTGCCCCATCAACTATCAAAGCAATTGAACCATTTATTAAAACAAACGATTTGATAAATTGTGATGTGTAAGATTTTCCAATTCTGCGACTAGAAAAAGGTATTAAGGTTTCTAAACTTTGTTTTCAACATCAATTATAGGTGTTTGGTCATGTTATAGAATTTTATAAGACAATGATTTGAATACGAGGTGCGGTTCGATCGTTAGGTATTCGTCTTTTTACGTAAAGAAGACACAAGGTGGACGAAGAATACCTCGGTAGACTCTGAAGGCTCCAGTACCCCAACACCGTGCTTTGTTAATAAAATAACACAAGAAATTTATGGAATGTTATAAATAATAATGAGGAAACATGCTGACGTAGCTGGTTATTAACATAACGGTACTGTAGTTGTTCACATCAATCAAAATATTTAAATGTATGATGATAAATCGAATAAACAGATTGGTTGCAGAATGAAGTGTCTGTCAGTATTTTTAAGGTCTGATATTTATTCATGTTTTGATCATTCGTGCTCAAAAATGTATAAGCCTTCAGCTAAAGGAAAAGGAAAGAAAATAATCGTGATCCGAATAATTTGTTTTTCTAACGTAATATGCTGTCTTGGTTTAAGGGCAATGTAGTCAACTATATACATATCAAGGAGTCCCTTAAGCAAAATCTCACGTTAATATTAATTCTCTGATAATCTTCTTGTAAGTGTTTTAAATAGAATTTGCATAATCATTCACTTTTATAAACGAAGCATTTGAGTTTTATTAATTAAATAACTAAACACATCTGTATCTCTATGATTACCATATCCAGAAATATAAAGTGCAAAAAGTGCCAAAGCGTACGATTCAAGGAATTTACATAAAAAACATAAAGACACAAAATTTGTAACATCTAAGTAAGCCAACTACATAGTTAATGTATGGACGAAACAATGCAAATATTTCTGCTTTTGTTTTATAAGACTCCCGAGCGTCGTTGCCGTCTCTGAACTAGAATTCCCCACTTTTTCTCAGGATTTTTTCTTTGTTCCATTACTGTCACGCGCCGTGGTTTCTCCCGGGAGAGTTCATCCGGGAAAATCATTAATAAATATCTCAGTCAGACCATTGAGACTCATTTATATAAATACAAAGAACTACGAAACAAAGTGTGAAGCCAAGTTAACAACAATTTGACTAAGTGTTGCTTGATGACTGACTGCATTTTTCTTCATTATTTTTGGCTTTTTGAAAACATTTCTTAGATAATGTTTAATTCGTATTATATTATCTTTACTTATTAATATCGACATGATTCTTTGTGGTAATTGCAAGTCTTAGGTATACTTAAAGCAACTCTTACAATTTAAACTAGGGTTTAATATTTTATTTAACAAATTTTTGACGTTTCGGCTGTTAGTTTCTGAATGATAAAAATGTTGTTCCTAATAATAAAAAGTTATTATCTTTTTACCTGTATTTATGTAGATCTCTTAATTTCGCGTCAATGTTTTATTTTTTCATTAAAATTCGGAAGGATGAGTGGTTTAAACCCAGTGTGCACAATAATCTTAATAACAAACATGCTCAGACTCAAAATGTTGTTTCCGCCATAACATTTCAAGCTAGCTTCATATTTCTTTACTGTTTTCCATAAATATCGGCTAAGCCTTCTTCATTTCCAAGTAGTCGCGAATGTTTTAGCCTAACGTTATTTTTTCTACAATCCTCGTTTATTTATCAAGGTTTCTTATTTCGCTCGTAATTATTCATTTCAATGGGGTTTTGTTTTAAATTGTCCTCATATGTTCGAGTTGAGCAGGCAATAAGCGGATTCATATTTCACCGTCTGCCAGCCCGATAAACGACAGCGTTTTGCAGTGTCACCGACCTCGGTGAAGGGCAGATGTTTTATGAAATTACATATACGCCATTGCGGTCTACAAATTGTGTGTACATAGGACACACCGAAAAAGGGACGATCTGTTGTTTAGGTGTCAGAAATCGAAGCTGAGATTATCGCGTACTTAGGATAATGCTATTTAGAGGGTGACCACGAACTTAGTTTTCCTTAGAGATTTCCACAAGGAGTGAAAATGTGTATTAAACTTCACAGTCACGTAATAAATAAGCATAACTTTTTTCATTGTCTATTCTTTCAGAGAACAAGCGCTGACTTTTAACTTTGTTTAAAATTAAAGAGAGTCTGGATAATCGTGTAGATTGCTTACTGTTTATATCTCTCTTTAACCTGTAATGGGTCTAAATATTCTTCTTCTTTGTTATTTCCCCACCTTATCCTACTAGGTGGGGTCAGCACGGCAAATTTTCTTGTTCTATTCTCCTCGATCAGCCGTCATCTCAACACTCACTCCTCTTTCTCTCATATCGTTATTCACACACTCCATCCATGTCTTCTTCGGTCGACCTCTTCCCCTTCTACCTTGCAATACCATTTCCATGCATCTCCTAGTCACACGCATCTCCTCTCTACGCATCACATGTCCATGCTACGCTAACCGTCCGCTTTTTAATTTATCAATCACCGCGGCTATTTTCACAATTCCTCTGATATACACATTCCTTATTTTAATGAGTCTAAATATTATTATTACAATTACAATGCGGGATAATTTTGTGGTGTGTTATCAAAATGTTAAGCGTCTCGAGTTTCACAGATTACTTGTCAATTTGACCACTCAAATATGATTTTGAAAATGAAATAGTATGAAGCTTACCTATAAAGAACCACACGTAGGATTTTCCGTATAGTCTATGCTTGTATACTTCACAGAGTACTCTCCTGGCTGCTACTACGTAGAACAGGCCGACGATCACTCTCGCATCTTGACGACGAAGATTCCTCACGGCGTCTGCTGGGTCTGATAGAAACGATTGGCGGGTTACGATTTCGATCCCGGCCTTCTTGCAGTGAGCCTCCAAATCTTCGACAGTCTGAAAAATACTCACTATTTACTAAAAAAAATTTTTTGCACGCCTATATAAGCGAATGAGATCATGGCCCCCTAATGTTAACTATTTACCGAAACCTATAGACATTACAGCGTAAATACCGCGGCTTAACTTGAGACATGAGGTCAAAACCTCAAACCTATCTGTGTAGGCCCTCAAAAGTAATTAAATCTTAATTTCTGTTACATTTGATTTATATTACACGATGTTATTCCTTCATCGCGAAAGTCATTCGTAAATTTGTGCTCAGTAAGTTTTTCAATTGAAAAATTGGGTAGGTGCATGCAGGATTGGAACGTGGACGTTGTCACTTTTCTCAACATTGGTACAGCGGGCCTTTTATCCCTAAAGCCGCGATGACTTCAAGTAACTTTAAGCACCGTATTTGCATTTTTCAAAATAGTACTTTATGTTTCAAATATGAAGTCGTACGCTCTTTCAACAAACAGTTTTTTACGCGACGAATTTATTGTAAATTCCCACTGTTAAACTACATACGATTTATTTTAGTGAATTTCGCATTGAGGATTTTGGTACACACACACATACGAAACACGTAAGCTCCTAGTTTAAGGAGCTCCAATTTGTATGCGTATTATATTCATTTTATGCTTGAATAGCTTTCCTCTTGATTACATGTGCGATCCCACGCATCGACGTAAGTCACTTCCAGTTCATCTTAATACACGTTTAAATTATTCCCTCAGATGGAAAATTTAATGGGAGCCCGCGGCTTGAGATCGGCTGCTTCGTCGAATATTTATAACTTGCACACTTCTACGAAATTGAAAAGTGAGATGAATTTAAATATGATTTATTCAACATATGTTTGTTGTTTCGACTGAATAAATTCTTAAACATCTGATTGCTCCAAGAATCGCGGTGAATAAGAATTTTCCGAGAGACGAGATAGTCAGGTAAGATTTTCGAAGTTACTCGAGCCAAATGTCTGTGTTTATGCAAAACTGTTCTGGGCTCCTTTTGTGTTTCTTTCGTAACGTCGCATTCATCATTATTACATGAATATTTTCAGTGGCGGCGCGCCCCGTTTTCCACGTGTGAATTTCAGTGAGTATTTTTTTTCTGCGTCGACGTATATAAAGAACGCTTCAAAAGCACTTATGCAGAAAAACCGGGGTTGCTCTAATTACATTGAAACCAGCGTGAAAAACCCGGCCCCATTCATTGCGAGTAACTATAACACTAGACTCCTCGCTTCGCTCGCCTGCGCTACTAACAAGCGTTCTCATTATACTCATAATATGTATTTTGCTCAATAAATCACCATCGTAAAGGATGAATTTAAAGAGACTCAGTTAGAAATAATAAGGCCCTCAAGTGACATTGTCGAATTTAAACTTTGTTTGCTGTCATTGATTAAATATTGATATATCAAAACAATCACATTTTTTTTTATAAATTACGACAAATTAAAAAACAGGTGTCGTATTTTTTTAATGATAACAATATGATCTGATGGTGCTGAGTTGAAATTAAAATGAATACCTACTGATTAAAAAGAAACAAAATTAAATTTTTAGGCAGCGGCTTGGCTCTGCTCCTGGCATTGCTGAAGTCCATGGGCGACGGTAACCACTTACCATCAGGTGGGCCGTATGTTCGTCTGCCTACGCGGGCAATAAAAAAAATTGTTAATTATGTGTCTTATTTAGTATGCACGTAGCACGTTGACAGAAAGGATGATGTCAACTGAAAGTATACAATGACCCTAACAAAATCTTTTTTTTTTTTTTTTTTTATGATTGAAAGATTACTGGTGGCCCGGAGGCCTTTCCAGCTTCACCAGGACAGGTGGGCGAGNACGATTTTCCGCGGTAGGATACCTATCGTAGGCACGGATCGAGGCGTTCTTAGCTCTAAGGAGCTCCCTAATATCGTCGGGCAATTCGAAGCGGTGAAGGAAGTCCTCCGCCACAACTTGCTTCGATGACCTATCTAATGTCGAGGTGATGTGTGACGTTACGATGTCTATGGCTTCAGCGGTATCCTGAGGAGACGGGGTAGAGTCTGGGCTAAACGGGAGCGACGGTGGATCAGATTCAGCCAGGCTGATGCCCAGCGTGTGCCAATCCACCACAGTCCTCGTAACGGTAACGGAATCGGGAGCGCGACCCAGCTTCATAACGACAGGACGGTGGTCTAACAAAATCTCTTGATAAATTACAACTAGCTTAATTTTTTAAGAATTTTTTCTTCTGAATTTACATAGAACTTAAGAGCAGTCGTTAAAGTTTCCAGCTCGACGAGCAGGGAAAGACTTAAAAAAAGATTTATTTTTCGAAGAAATGTTGTAACCTATTTCCTTAAATGTCTACTTCCTTATTAAGAGGCTTAACATAAAACGTGTCATCCTAAAAAGTGAAAAAGGATCAGTTAATTGTATCATAATAAATTCTTTGCTCGGAGAAAACGGAAATTTTCAATTAACACAATTTTTAATTTGGTTTTACTCAATAATAAAGAAACGCTTGGATAGAATGAAAACATTAAGTCATTAAAACTAAAGAGAAAAAAACAACTACGCTGTGTATTGAAATAATAGTAATAGATGGTATATTGATAAAGAGCTATTAGATACATCCATTAATCATTGGAGACCGCAAATAGGGGTTCGAATCATTTTCATTTCGCACATACGTAGCTAATGCTAGTGATTAAACGTTGATTTCATACTGTTTATTGAGTCGTAATTCGGAATTTTGACCTTCAACGACTGAAAAGTAATTTTATTTTAGTTAAGTTTAGTTACATAAAGTTTTTTTTTTTTTTTTTTGTTTTTGTTTTTTTTTTATTTGATTTTTTGTTTCTTATTATTATTATTGCTTTTGTTTTATTCCGAGATTGTAGTTATAAATGGTATAAATGAAATGTTAATGAATGTAATATGGATGCAAAATCTGAAGTAAATGAAACAAATAAATAAATAAAGGTCAATATTAAAGTTTGTGTTATGGTTTTTCGAAAATTAACACAAATCTTTGTTTTCTTGTAATGAATAAAATAGTATTAAAGTATTTAATTAATGACTATCTTAAAAATATTTATTTGAGAATATTCATACAAGAAATTAAAAAATAAAGTATAAATAATTAAATCTGTAGAAATTACAAAGGGTGCTCAATCTTTAAGTAATATCTTCCAGCAGACCCGCGAGAGGAGTTTAGAATTAGAATAATCATTAATAGTGATGTATGTATAGGTAGGTAGTTATAAAGAAGATAACTTTATGAACATTCTATTCAAGGTACACAAACTAAGTACATAAACGCCTATAAGAAAATTTATACAAAATATTAATTTACTGGTGGTGGGACCTCTTGTGAGTTCGCGCGGGTAGGTACCACCGCCCTGCCTATTTCTACCGTGAAGCAGTAATGCGTTTCGGTTTGAAGGGTGGGGCAGCCGTTGTAACTATACTGAGATCTTAGAACTTATATCTCAAGGTGGATGGCGTATTTACGTTGTAGATGTCTATGGGCTCCAGTAACCACTTAACACCAGGTGGGCTGTGAGCTCGTCCACCCATCTAAGCAATAAAAAAAAAAGTATATATCTTAGTTTACAATTTAACTTGAAATCGAACATGCTTTGTTATTTAATTAGTTTTAAAACTTTTCATGTTTCCATAACGAGGTCGATTATATTTACGGACAGCAATGAAAACGAAAGAATCGATCCGACGAAAGCCAATCACGAATGTCGTTTGTCAATCGGCAAACAAAACGCTTAGCGTGTCATAGCACTCTCGATGCCGATACTGCTGAAATGATTCGAGTCACGCGACACAGCGGCCGCAGCCGACACGATGTGGTACCCAAATGTAATCACATGCTCCGATATGGCCTATATTGTGTATTCCACAGGTTGAACTGTCCGAAGTCAATCTATACTTATCTATACTTAATATTACAAAGAGGAAATATTTGTTTGTTTGTATTGAAAGAAAAGGCTCCGAAAGTACTGAACCGATTTGAAAAATTATATCACTGTTTCGAAGCTACACTATTCCCGAGTGACATAGGCTATAATCTTTTTTGTAAAAAATTTGGTGTCCTTACTAAAACTCCAATAATGTAACCCAAGGTGTAAAAAAATTACTTAAAATGTTCTTTACTTCGCGTGCCCTGCGAAAACTATTGATGATAGAATAAAATAATGTACTACGGCTTTGTAAATAGAACACATTATTATTTACAAAAAGTACCAGGATAGCGTATGTCTAACTATTATAGTTATGCCGCAATAAGTGTTCTTTTATTTAAAAAAATAAAACAATGTAAAATATCGTTGAAATTTTTGTTAAAGACCCGAGCGGAGCCGGAGCTGGCCGCTAGTGTATTATAAAGATAACGCTCCTCGTCTATTGTAAGATAGACGAGGAAAACATTCGCTTGAACATAAAGAATGTTTGTCGAGGAAAAACCTATGATCATTATTCAAACAAAGCTAGTGCTGTATTTTTTGTTCTATATTTGACGGACTCGTTAATTTCGCGAAGTCAGTTATTGAATTTGCGAATTGGGGTTGATATTATTTGACAGGTATGGAAACTATTCTACCTAGGCTAAAGGTAAAGGATAGTAAATACGTACATACATATATTCACAGATTCGCCGACAAACCTTATGGATGTGTAAAATATCATTATTATCTTAACTTAAACAGTATTTGGTTAGAGGAGGAGTTTTTTTTCTTTTACATTTAAAAATTGATAGATTTAATATCTAAAGCATTAAAACTGTGAGTCAGTCAAGTGGTAGATTCGTTTATCGTACATCTATACATTGATCTTGAAATGCGATGATCTATACTAATATTATAAACAGGGAAAAATTTGTTTGTTTGTTTAAGTTTGTTTGCTTTAAGTTGAACAGTAACATTCAAGTTAATGTAACTGCCTTGTAGAAAATCGGATGAGCCTAGAGTTCGTCTACTCATGCACATTGTGATCAAGAACGCAC